TATATATATATAAATGTATGTATATTGCATTTGTAGACCTTTGTTTTCAGAAATAATATATCATTTTTCATATACATACTGTACATATGTGAACATTTTTCATTTTCAGATTTTTATTATTTTTTTGTAAAGTGATTGCAACCTCTAAAATTGATTTCAGAATGTAGGCATTGTAATAAATGAATGAAAAAGTCATGGAAACTCAGTGGCCAAAAGGTTTACTGACCCTAACAGTAACCGGCTTTTGTAATTGTGTAACATTTTTCAGCGAATCTTTCCTGGTGGTTTTCAGTGTTCTGCATCACATAACCATCAGTGTGGCCGTGTGGATTTGTGTTAAATCTGTGGTGCATTACGCAGACTGTGATTTTTGGGTTGCAGTAAAGTGCTGATCTCAGGGTTAAGCGGGTGATTCATGTCAAACCTGCTGTTAAATGAATGAGCGATGCTTATCCCGCAGTCAAAACAGCAGCAGGCACTCTATTAAATCACTAATAATGTCTTAGCTTGACTGGCTGCCATACCTCACTGAAACGCTCAGCACCAGAGCAGCTAAGTGTGTTCGTTCCGGCTCCAGCGGCTCTGTTCGCGGGCCAGTTTCCTGTTCTTTTGTTCACTGTGGGTTTAACTGCCTCTCCTTCTTCCTTTAGAGGACCCGGAGCAGTCAAACGCACCCATCCTGGCCATACTGCTGGGTCTGTCCGTCTTGGTGCTTTTTCTAGGGTTGCTGACCTGGTTTTGCCTCAGGTATGACACACACACACACACAAACGCTGTGAGTCTGTCATGCTTGTAAGCTCCACCTCTTTCTGATTAAGGGTGGGTCCAGGAACTGAGACATGCTGTCACACACACACATGCATTTATTCATACACAGCCTCACCGTGGTAAACCCACAGATTTTTATATGGTAGAGAACGTGTCATATAGCGTGTGTTTGTGGAGAAACAGCGCTTCTGATGAAAAAGAGCTCGAGTTTTCGTTGGTGAGACAGATTTGACGTTAGGATATCGTCCCACATGTTGTCTTCACGTTTAAACCTAATGTCCTTCGCTTTCTTTTAGGTTGAAAAACCAGAGGAAAGCTGTCATCACAGCCGTCGACAAGAAAGTACCGAATGGCATCCTGGAAGAGCAAGGTAAGCACTCACTTTATCTGCGTCGAACCGGGTTAGTTGTTTAAGGTATGTTAAAAGTAACTTGTGGTTTGGAGAGCTCTGTTGTATGTCTTGGCAAGTTTCACTTTATCAAATGTGCTATATTCGGCTTCCTGTTGTCTCAAGACGTATGAGAGCAGGACGTGAGAGTTTTTGTGAGCTACACGTGCTGTTCTATCTAGAACGACTCTATAATTGCACACAAAGTTCACTTTGGCTGAGGTTTATGGGTCATATTATGGTTTTTATGGTGGTTTTTGAGGAATATGGTCATCTGAATGCCTGATGTTTACAATCAAAGTCCAAGTCATTGATATGCATTGATGTTGGGTTTACAAAGATATTTCACAAACTTTAGTTTTAATGCTATAATCTTTATTAAATCTATGGTGTATTCAGGTAAATTGGGCCACTTTCTGCCATTGAGATGACTGGGAAAAAATGGCCCAATTATCCTAAAAAAAAGACTTTTAAAAGGTAACACTTTACAATAAGGTTCCATTAGCATTAGTTAACATGAATCGACTGTAACAATAAAAAATGCTAAAGCATTTATTAATCTTAAAGTGAATTTACTAATACAATATTAAAATCAAATGTTGTATTTTTTAACGTTTTAACTTGAGCTAACAAGAACTAACAATGAACAGTATTAACTAACGTTAACAAAGATGAATAAATGCTGTAACAATGTGTTGTTCATTGATAGTTAATGCATTCATTTATGTTAACTAATGGGACCTTTTTGTAAAGTGTCATCTTTTAAACTCTACTTTTAGACAAGACTTTTCTAGTTCAATAATAGTGAGAAAATATCAATATTACGAATCACCAAATGTCGTTTATATCGGCTAAACTGCATGTATTGAGTTATTTATTGTTTTGTTGCATAGATACAGAGGTGAAACATAATGCTATTTGTGCTTTGTTTATCAATATTTACTTAAGAAAATATTCAAATATGACTAAATGTGAAAGCGGAAGAAGGTTCCGTTTTAAGCCGTTGTTCCTGTTTGCTTTTATTAGTTTGCTTGTTTGACACAAAAACTG